GTTCGTGGCTGTTCGTAGCTGTTCGTGGGTGTTCGCGTCTTTTAGCAATACCCGTAAAAATTTTGTAAGAAAATTTGAGCGTTATATCTTTCTAAATTCGCTAGTTATTGAACTTTTCTTCTTGTAACCTACAAGACAACGAAAAAATGTAATACATAAATACTAAATTCTGTAAATGTCTTGTTTGAGAACCGTAGATCATGTCTAGCTTATGAGATGTTCTAAAAATGAGTTATAGATCTTACCTATTATTTGATAAAATTGAAATTGTAAGCGTTCAATATTACCCATTAATGTTTCTAATATTATCTCTTCACTCTTTTCTTCTTGATGTCGTTGATCTAAAAATTGAATATATTGTGTTCTCACTTGCAATAGTTCACTTATTTCTTCTTTCGATGAATATATTTCCATCAATAATAATTCACATTTTTTCTTAATATCATTTACAACGTGTTTAATTGCTAAAAAAACATTTGTTTTCAATTCTGTCAACGCTTGTTCATAATCAATCGATGATGGTACAGCAAAATGTTTCTGTATTTTTTCAATCTGTTCAACGAGTTTATCATTGTTCAATTGTTTACTAATATCAATTAGATATTGAATTAAATTTGATTCTAAATATTGAATTTGACTAGAGGCCATATATTTTGATTTACCGTGTGTTATTCCTTCATCTATTCTATTAATTATTTCAAGATGTTTTAATAAATTATCTAGAAGGCTTTTCTCACGAATATATTGTTCTTCATGACTTGACATCATATCACATCGTTTATCTAAACACAGAATTCATTATTAGTAACAATGAAGAAGGAAAAATACCTGATCTTGAGTACCGATGCACAGAGTACTGACAAATATTAGTTTCAATAGTTCGATTTTTCTATAGGTGACAAGCTTCTGTCTTCTACTAGTTTTCAACTGCAAGTTGAGACAAAAGGTCGCTCTTCACTCTCAATTAACTTGAACTTTTTAAACACACTCACTAACTGAAAAGTCACAAAAAGTTATTGGAAGAACTATTCTGAAAATGGAGTGAGGTTACTTTCGGACGTATGATTCAATGTACATCGGTAACTTATGTAACTTGTGGATGGCGAGGTTCATACTCAACACCTCTGAAGTACGTAGTGAACTAGATAACTACCACTAAGCTTCTATTAGTGACGAAAAATGTCGCCTCTAAGCTTAAACATGTTTTTAATTATCAAATACCGGGTGATGCAAAAGTTTTTTCCCTCTTTTGTCTGCTTCATGTCTCAGTCCAGAAGCATCGTACATACTTACTTATTTTCCCATTAGAAAGAGCATATTCCGAGAGAGGCATAAGCCGACAAAAATATATAAGAACAGTGAACTTCAACCGGTTGGAAAAAGAGATATTACTTTTACAAGACGAGCCGCCAATAACCCATTTGTACAAATCACGATTGAAAATGAGGACTGCATATTTTGTTTGATCAGTCTCTTGTTTGTGTTTAGAGGTTTCTTGACACATTATATATCAATATACTCGTCACAATCTGCCCTTTCTTGTGACACCAGAATGTGCTACATATTGCATAATTAGGGTGATCATTGGGGTTTAGTGGGGAAAAGCTAAAAACGTCAAATTTGTGCAAAAATGAAGTCACCCATACTCCATTACTCAAAGTCAATAGTTTCTATCCTAATCAAGATCATCGCGATAGCACAGTACATTCAAAGAGCTTCCATTTGATATGCGGGATATCAACTAATTCTTTTTCCTTCACAAAAATAAATTGTTCTAATTTAGAGTCATCAGAGTGTTGAATAATTTTACAGTAGTGTCATCACTTTTTCACTGGACATTTTTTACTTTAAAAGCCATGACAAAGTTTTCTTTTTAAATTCTCCTCTTGTCCTCCATGTACACTGCAAAACCGTATTTGAAGTGAATATATTAATTGACTATCTAGTGCAAGAGGGAAATATTTCGCTTTTACAAATGGGTTATTGACGGCTTGTCTTGTAAAAGTAATATCTCTTTTTCCAACTGGTTGATGTCCACTGTTCTTATATATTTTTGTCGGCTAGAATATGCTCTTTCTAATGAAAAAAGAAGTGTGTACTATGTTTCTGGACTGGGGCATAAAGCAAACAAAAACGAAAAAATCTACTGTATTACCCGTTATTTATTTTGCTTATTAATCTGAACAATATATTGAAAATTCCTAATATACATCTCATTTTAAAAGTATCTCATCGAAGTACCATTTACTTGTTTAGTATATTTACAGGTAATGAAATAATATATTTTCCAAATAGAGAGAAACCTAAACTCACCAATAATAGGCGTAACTTTTTCAATAATTTTTTCTTCTATCTTCAATTCATCTAATTTATTTTGCAATACAGATGCCAATACATTCCATTCACTAATAAATGTTTCATGAATACTTGAGAATAGTTGGACTGATGAATTTTCATCACTTTTATTCACTTGTTCCATCTGTTTATGACGTTGAAGTCTAATATCTTTAAATATTTGTAAAATATGATCGAAATATTGTTTCTTCTCTAAACTTTGTTCTAACAATATTTTTAATGGTTCTGAAACGGGTCGTTTATTATCAATCACATAAGACACTAACATTTTTTCTTCCAGTTTATCTGATTCTTTCTCGATTTGTTCCTCCGTTAACAATGTAGTAGGACGATTGGTATTTTCGTCAATAATAAATGTACCAATTTGTAGTTTAGATAGAATAAACGGAATGGGAGTATGTTGATTGAATTTGATCGCTTCAGAAATGAGCTTGTTCGTTTCATTGACAACAAACACGACTAAAACAATGGGATTGTAGGACTTTTAGAAATTATTTTTCAAGATAGCAAATACCATTATCTTTTGTATCGATGAGTTTTTCTTTGCTAGACATGGACTCGATTGGTTGCCCATTGCTGTCGATTGACAATATTTTTAATTTAGCTGTTATTGGTAACAAATTCCGTAGTGCCGTGGCACCTTTAATGACATCAATTGATTTTAGTTTGATTGTTCCCGTTCCCAATGTTTCTAACGATTCTTCTTCCAAATGGATATTAATATCAGTGATCTTTTCGCTCAAATCACGAATTTGAATCGAAAACTTTTCTTTATCTTCTATTTCCGATATTTTTTCGACTTGTTTTCCGATTTCATCAGTGAGTAATTTTATACGATTTAAACGTTCTTTATCGTGTTTACCCTCGTTATACTCCTGTTTTAGCTTTAAAAGACGTTCATTTATGCTCACCTTCATTATATCGATTGTATCAACTCGTTGTTCAATTGTTGGCAAATATGAGGCTAAAAATAAATAGTCAAAAACTTTGTCTACTTGTGAAGGTCGTCTTTGCTTAAAGTTGTTCAAAAGAAGAATTTCAAGAACAACGTTACTTTTTTAGTTTAATGATACCTCATGGATTGATTTAATATTTCAAAAATATTCTTTTTAATATAAATAGTTTGTAGAATATCTTTCATACAATACGAAGTTTTTGGCATAATATTCTCACCTAATTCGGGTACTAACTCCGTAACTTTATCATCAAGGGTAGAAAATTCTCCAAATGTTGATCTTTCTGGCAATAGTTGTACTACGTCATATTTTGATGCCATGTTAATCTGATCGATTTTTGATATTATTGACTCCTCATCGGATTGTGTTTGGACAATTGTTGACAATCTTAACACAGTTTTTTGCAGTGATTTACCATTGATCAATCGTTCCATTAATTCTAGATCATCATCCAACGTGCGAATCCTAAGTTCTAATTGAGTTCCTGTAGAAAAAGAAAAACATTTTCCCCCATTGTATATTTACTCTCTTTTGGATAGCGATAACAATATGTTACCTAAAATTGGTTGAATACTGTGTCGTTCTCGACTTTTTAATTGATGAAAACTCTGCTTAATCTGATTATATTTTGTCAACACTTGATTTTGTTCAACATTAATGCATTGTTTGGTTTCATCAAAAGTGGAATCAAATGTTGAAATTTGTTCTGATACTTGTTTCAAAGCGTTTTGATGTAATCTCTTTTCTTTCAATATTGATTTAATATTGCTCATCCGATGTTCCAACAATTTTTCGACAATATTATTTTCTTTTTTAAAAACTTTTTTTAAAGACTTAACAAATACATTGGAAAAATCACTCATTTCAGAGTGAAGATAATCTATTAGATCTATTTCAACTTGATTTGATTCACTTTCTTGAGATAAAATTTGTTGACGAAAATCATTTATTATCGATTGATCTTCTAGACGAAAAAACGACAGACACAGGATAGTTAGAGTGGATGGATGCACTATAATTTTTGTCAAAAAATATTCCAGTCTTCTCACAATTATCAACAGCATTAAGGTCAACTTCGTCTTAGAAAAAAATTTTATTTTTTAAGTTGTACATGGGTATTACTAAAGCACCAGTTAAAAACTGGTGATATACAGGAAAACTGCTATAATCTGACTGCGAAGAATCAATAAGAGTTGTGGAATGTTTTATTTTGTAGAAAAATGTTTAGTCTATAATGTCGAAATCTTAAAAAGGTTTCGAACCTATTTGTGATAGAAACTAACACCGGTTTTTAACTGGTCACACCTAAGTATTACAGAGTGGAGTATCCAATACAAAATAAGAACATGACCAGTTCGTTGAGAGACGACTTTTTTTCAAGTCGACCGCATCACGGTAAAAGAACATTTTTGTATGTAATTGGTAGAGTTTTCATTAAGAAAAGTATAACTAAAGCAGCGGTTTTAATCATTTTGAATTTCCAATGTTTCGATTTATTAAAAAATCATTGTCAAGGATATATACAGAAAACAGAAAATTTTCTTTTAAACTGAATGGTATAATTTATATTTATATACTGTACGATTTTCTCTCTTCAAGTATTTTTCTTTTTACTATCTAACCTTTCTTTTCTAGACCACAAAATAGAAAGAAAAGAATTTTGTTACACAATTGTGTTCGTCTGTGTGTATTTCGAGTCTTTGACTATAATATCTCTTTTCTTTTCTCTCTTTGTTTTCTTCGAGGTATTCCTTCTGGAAAAATGATCATCGGAACAGAGTGAGTTGTACAATTTAATTTTGGCTCTAACGTTTTGATCATCAAGCTCTCCTTTATCAGCAAGTAATATGAATTTTTATCACTATCAATAACTTCAAAATTTTCCCAATCGATTTTATGTCCAGTCTCAACTTCATGTTTCGCTAGAGACGATTTTATCTTAACGTCATCATCATTCCCTATAGTATTTACATTGTTAATCAGTGAAGATTGTGTACCATCCATGTGAGAAGACATCTGTGACAGTTTTAACCGTTTTTCTCGCAATCGAGATGATTGACGTGGAACTGAGTACGGTTGAATAGTTTTTACTTTCTTTTTCTTTCTTAATGGTCCGATCGAGTCTCGTATTTTTACTGCATCATCTATCTCGGCATCAGATCTTTCATCATTCATCCATTTAAGTCCTAGCTCGGTGAAAAGCTTTTTGGGGGCACCATGTTCTTGAAGTCTTCTAAGACATTGTCGTTCAGTTTTTCCGACATAACTATCATTACAATCACCACATTTTGCTGCATAGACAACGTCTGACTGAAGATGTTTCGGTATTTTG